AGTTTCAGAAAAGTATATTTTATTTTTGGAAGATTTTTTTTTAATAAAGAGAATTACATTGTGATGAAAGACAACTAAAAAAAGGACGTTAATCAGCTATTAAAATCTCCTTCAAGTCAATTTAAATTTGTTTTTGAAAGTATTTTGCTTGTTGGAAATATTAAATTTAATCTATTAGCTTTAAACTAAAATAAAAGTTTCAGAAAGATTTTTCATTTTTAAAAATTCATTTTAAAACTTAGGTATTGCATTTTTGTAGACGTCTCTCATTTTAATTTGATAAGGTTGTTTAAGAACATGACTTGAGTTTACACGTTAATGTTTTCGTTTTGTAGCAGTTTGCAATTGAGGGGGGGGAACTATCTCTGGCACAACCTATTCTATGTTCAATTTCTTTATCTCTTGTACTAATTTTATTATAACTGATCCATATGCTGGAGTATTTGAAGTGTTTAGTATTTATTAATTCTACATACTGAATTTTTATGATGGATTCAGGACAGGTGCCATCACTGCTTTCATTCCAATTCTATATCATGGTTTCTGTTTTGTAAAGGTTTATCTTGAGTCCCATTTCTTGGAACATTTGGTAGAGGATGTGGATTTTCCATTCAAGATCATTCTTATTTCAAATATGTATGCCTATGTCATCAGTATAGTGTCCTTCATCATCAGTACATTGACCTTGGGAAGGAAAGCAAGATCGTTGTCTTCTAGTGAAAGACTTGTTTGGGATGTGGGATGGAATATTTAAATGATCAGTTGCTGTCTCTTCACATCTGTGTTTGTAAGTACACAGGTCATAGTCCAGGTGGACATATAAGTTAGGATTATGACTTTTTTTGTAACTCTATGTTCTTGTGTCATAAATTGATGAACTTTTGTTCAAAAGTAATGAAAAAGGCATTAATTTGTTTTAGTTTTTGAAAAAAGTCACCCACAAACTGAAAATTCAATTTCATACAGATTAAAAATCAAAATATTTCAGAAATTTTATTCAGTTTGCTAATGATGTCATTGGATAGTACTTAGATATTTTTTAACACTTTTAACAATTTATAGCTACAGCAAACATACAAACTTACAAATAAATAAAAACAAGTTCTGAAAGGTTCCAGAATGTCATAGTATTATTATACTTATATACAATTTAAGAAATTGTGTGTGTGTGTGTGTGTAGGAGGGGGGGTGACATTTAAAAAAAAAAAATGAATTAAATTTGTCTTCATTATTTTTGAGTAAAAGTTCAATGAAATTAAAATAAAAAGAATCAATTATTTTATAAACTGGCATAACCCTTATATATATATATATATATATATATATATATATATACACATTATGAAATGGACAAAGTCTGACAGTTATTTAAGACATTATTTAAGACACAATCCAATTCATCAGACCTACAAATTCAAATTTTGAAATTAGTAGGTCTGATGAATTGATTGTGATTAATAATTCCAATGTAATAAATTATAACCATGGAATATTAGTATTTTTAGCCTTTTATATTATATTCTTACTTCGTCCTGGACATTGAGCTCTACCTGGATTCTATCCTCTTGGAAATATATATATATATATATATATAGACCACTAATATTATTTTTCTCTCTCTCTCTCTCTCTCTATATATATATATATATATATATATATATATATATATATATATAAATTTAAGAAAAATGTACAGCTGAAAAAATGAAAGATGTATTCAAAAAAAATTTCATTATATGTTCATGTAAAAGAACGTTAAGTTCATGAATACGTACAAAACAGTAAAAAAAAAAGTGGACTGAAAAAGATGCGTATCAAATTGAAAAAATTTGAAAATATTGTCTAAAATCCCAACCCGTGAAGACTGGAAGTCAGGATAAAATTGCTATTTAAAAGTTAAGTAATCTTTTCAGATCATATTATTATTCTACAAGAGAGAGGACATACTGGAGGATCTCAACAGAATCTGTTTTCATAGCCCTACCTAAGAAACTAGGTGCAAATGAATGCAAGCTCCACCGAACAATCAGCCTAATGAGCCACATCACAAAACTGATCATCCATATTCTGATGAATAGAGCACTCAGCAGAATTGGGTGAGAGATACGACAAAAACTGTGCCGGTTCGTTAAAAACACCAGAACAAAGAATTCGATATTCATGCTTTGAATGTTATTGGAAAGAGCAATGCAGATGCAGATGCACATGTATCTCTGTCATGTAGACTACACAAAGGCATTCAAATAAACTACACCACAATGACCTGCTAGAACTGCTCAGCAATCTTGATATATTTGGGAAAGATATCAGAATAATCAAGAACCTATACTGGCAACAAACGGCATACATTTGCATTGAGAATGAGCTCAGTGAATGCACAAAAATAAAAAGAGACGTAAGGCAAGGATGTATCTTCTCACTGGATTTATTCAACCTATACAGCGAGGTAATTTTGAGGGAACTGGAGATCCTACCAGGATTCATTATTGGCAGCCACAACCTTACCAACATAAGATATGCAGATACCATGGTACTGATAGCAGACATGGAAAAGAAACTACAAAACCTCCTACAGAAGGTAACGAAGGAGAGCAAGAAGAAAAGACTAACCATAAACTACAAGAAGACAGAATGCATGGTCATCAGTAAAACGGTGAACACAAAATGCGATTTGCAAGTTGGGAACACTAAAATCAAACATATGCAGAAGTTTATGTATGTGGGAAGTGTTCTGATGGAGGATGGTAAGTGCGATGCTGAAATCCAAAGACGGATTGGGATGGCCAAGGATACATTCCAGAAGCTGGTCAGAGTACTGTGAAACAGGAGGGTTTCTATGGTGACAAAGAAGAAGAGTACTGAGCTGCTATGTGACATCTGCCCTCCTATGCGGCAGCAAATGTTGGACGGTATCCTTAAGGATGAAGAAGAGGCTTTTAAAGCAATGGAAATATTTCTACAGAAGGATGCTGAGGATACCATGGACTAAGCATGTGAGCAACAGTGAGGTCTTGGAGAGGATGCAAACAAGGAAGAGGCTTATGCTTACATAAGGAAGAGGCAGATGAAATTCCTGGGACATGTGATGAGAAAGGAGAGCCTGGAGAATCTGATACTCATGGTACGCATAGAGGGGGAAAAAAAACGGGAAAGCAGTGCATGACATACGTAGCAGGCTTGAGCAAGTGGATGGCGGAGCATGGTCTGGGGGAGTTGGCAGAAACACAAAATCTGTTGAGAGCCATAAGGTTTAGGGGGAAGTGGAGGGCCATGATCACCTACGTCCTGAAAGGACATGGCATGTAAAAAGAATATGAAGAAATATAGTTTTAATGTGTGCTATATTTATGGGATAAAGTGCTCAATATCAGCGATAGAGCGTATGCAATTGCCAGACAGCCTGATGATTGCGTCTAGCATGAAACAGCCTGTCGTCTCTGAGTGTTGACTTCAATGTTCACTTTTATATTTACATACGCTCTATCTCTGATATTGAGCACTTTATCCCATAAATATAGCATACCGTAAAACTATTTCTTCACACACACACACACACACAAATTAATGTGTGTGTATTACACTTTTTACAGTGCACACAGATATTATATTGATCTTAAGCAGAAGTGCTGATCCATACATGATGCTACCATTTTTGATGGGTACTATGCAAATTAAGGGCTGTCAAAAATACTATTTGCTTCTCCTTTGAAAAATGTTTAAATTCATATACACCCCCTGATATTTGATACCATTTTAAATAAGGACAAAATTAAAAGTTTTTTTTTTTTTTTATAAGCAATTGGCTTATATAAGCACTTGTACTCAAATTTGACTAAATCGAAAAAACGAAACATAAAATTATACCAAGATTTACTACATAATATATTATTTTATACTGTATTTTAGAATTCTACTAGTTTAGTCCCATTGAAATGTTTTTCTTTTCTATTTATTAAACTCAAGCAAAAAAATAAATAAAAATTAGCGACTTAATTACAAGTTCTTGTAACTAAGCAACTCAAATACTGATCAAAATTCTAAGTTGCTAACAAAAATGAAAAGAAATGTTACTGGTGATTTCACAGTTTGATGAGAATTCTTTTTGTTCTGGCAAACAAAAAAGAAGTCAAACAACTTGATTCTAATTTGAACTGGATGTATATTTGATTGACAAATGTTTATCTTTCATCTGTAAACTGAACCAGACATGTCTACTATTTTGACACTAGTATAAACAAAGCCTATAATTACCTTTTGTTCGTAATGTCATCCGGACATGTCTGATGTTTTGAATCCAATGTAAACGGGACATTTGTCTACCATTTTCAATCCACTGTAAACGTAACCTTTGTCTGTTTTTTGAATCCATTGTAAATGGGATCTCTGTTTAGCATTTTGAATCCAGTGTAAACGGGACCTTTGTCTACAGTTTTAAATTTAATGTCAACCAGACCTGTGTCTACTGCTTTGACTCTAGTGTAGTTGGAACCTATGTCAACTTATCTATTATAACTTTCATTGAACAATAAATAACCCAACAAGATTTAATATATTATTAAATTAATCAAGCTTACCTAACCTTCCTTATGTAACCAGAAAGTGACATATCTACAAATCCTTTTATAAAGGAAGCCTTAAAGAAAGCTTTACTAAATTATTCTTGGATTGTTATCTCTCATATGTTGTTCAGGTGTACACTTTTATGACTAACATAATTACTTTTGACAAACTTATAAATCCTAACATTTTCTTCACATCATATATTTTTCAGCGTCAATTCTATTTTTTTTTAATGAAAATTTACTCTTGTTTTTTTTTTTTTTTTTTTGGTATGATTTACTTTTTTCATTAATTTATTTAAACAACTCTTCTTCCTATTCTTCATGAAAATGTTGCACTTAATTTCATCCAAGAACTGGTAACCTCTGCAATTTGAAAATCTGTCATGTAGTTTATGTGAAATGAACAAAATAGTATTAATTACTCTCACATTTTTGCAGCTTCTTCATCCACTTGGCAAGAAAAGTCCCATCAAGAATTTTTTAGACAAGAATAAAAATGGTGGAATACATCATATTTGTATTGAGGTAAAGTAAAAGAAAGATTTTTCTTTTGTTTTCTTTTCTTTCAAATTAACTAAGTCTTAATTCTTTTTTTTCTCTCTCCCAATATCCAATTCTTTTTTCTCATTTAAATCCAAGTGTTAGTTTTGCTATGCTTATGGGATCTTTACAGGACCTCTTTCATTAATTTAGAAAATCAATTTTCTCTTCTTTGTCTCACAATTTTTCAGTATATACACAATAATTCTATCAGGGGTGGGGGCTTCTTAGTTTAGCTGAGAACTTTTCAGTGTACACTTGTGTATTTTTGGTAATGGAACTTGGTCTCTGTGCTTATTAATGAGATATTCTGTTGTTATGGTAACAACTGGAATTATTCAATATCAATAAGTCAAATTACCTCATGTTAGCATTGGTTTATTTTGTTTCATGTCATATCAACACCTCAATGGGTTATTTAATGCCAACAAGATTTTTAGGATAGATTCGTATGAATAGAATATGTATTCTTTGTAAGAAATCAGTTTGTAGATCAGGTTTCATTGGCATATTTTTGTAAAGAGGGTTTTTGTTGAGAGTCAAATGTATTGCTGGCAATATTTTTTTTTCAAAAATGTATTGCTAGTAACATGTATGTAAGCATGTACAGTGTTGGTCGATAAAAGTGACTCACCTGATTTTTTATACTAAATGTTCTCTTCTCCAATGAAATGAAAGTTGAGCTAAATTCAAAGGATAAGCGATCTAAAATCCGAAGAAGCAGCTTTGAAAGCTCTTTGAATTTAGCAGTAAGTACTGTCAAGCATCCGTTCAGTATAATGTTCTGGGGATGATTTTCTTTTCATGGAACTGGTTTCTTAAAACCTATTGAAAAGACCCTCAGGAGCGAGCAGTACAAGAGAATTTTAGAGTCTTGTCTGCTCCCTTCTGCTGAAAGGGTGCAAATCGACCCCACCAAGCTCATTTTTATGCAGGATAATGCTCTCTGTCACAAATAAAAATTGATGAAGGAATACTTTGATGAGAAGCAGGTGAGTGTTATGACATGGTTGCCCCAATCTCCTGACCTCAACCCCATAGAAAACTTATGAAATCAAGAAATTTTACCATGAAAATATTTATAGAAAATGTTCACAGGGAAGCTGCATTACAGCAGTGGGATTCGTGATCATTCAAGCTGAGATGTTAGGTTAGGATCTTATAACATTGCAGATTCTTTCTTTGGATTTTTATCAAGAACCTTATCATAATAGCAGAATCACCAAATCAATGTTAATCAATATTCAATATCATTGGTACTTATAAATATGTTTCTTGATATTCTGTCAAGAAAATGAATAATGAACTAACTTTCCTTTTATTTTTTATTTTATTGATTCAATATAATTGAGACTGCATGTTTGCAGAAATAATGTCTAATTTATGAAAAAAAGAAATATCAATTAAATATCTTTTCATGTTTTCCGAATTTTAAGAGGACAGTGTTGGAAAATTTTTATATTCAACTAGAATTAAAGGTATGATTTTGATCAAGTAAAGAAGCATGATGATTAGAATTATTAGTAGAAAAATCTGTGGGTTACCCGACCTTACTCTATCAAAATATTACTCATTAATATATCAATAAGACAAAATATTTATTCTGTTCTTTTTTAATTCTTGCTTCTAGATTTAGTAGAACATTGGGTGTGTTAGCTTCCTTAGTCCTCTGTTGACTATTGAACTCTCTCTCACAAAATATTTATGCAAATATTTTATAGTTTCAATGTAAATTCTTTTCATTACAATTTATGTTTTATTAATTCCTTTTTTGTTGATAACCTCATGGTCATTTGTTTTATATTTATTGTTTTGTGTAACTTATTTTACCTTTCCGTCATCATGAGTTTTATAATTTGTTTTATATAAATAGATGTTCCAGGAGCCCATAAATATTTAATATACATCCTCCATACACCTTGCAAACAAAGAGGTGATACCTGCAACATAATGGTGACTCATGTTGTTATCTGAATAATATACTAGTAGCTTGCAACAAATCCGATATTTGTCTGAGAGAGACTGAGCAAAAGAAAAAATTCAAAATCTGAATATACGGGTAATGTTCATAACATTTGAATAATTCAGTCACTTGACATGATGAGCCAAACACAAAGATGTTCAAATGAATGTAGAGAACGAATTTTAACTATTATTTATATATATATATAAAATAATTTATATAGCTGCATTCGTCACAAGTGGAAAAATTTAAATCTGCATGGCACTTTACTCCAATTGGCTCATTTGCTTGCTTAAACTCAACGTTGATTCTGATTCCACAGAACTGGGTTGGGTGTGAAAAAGTATTTGTTGTTAACATTCTTTTTCATTTGGTTTTTCCAGTTACGAGTCCTTTTTTAAAGCTGATCGTTTTGTGTTCATTTTGTTTAGTTCTTTTTTATTTAACAGATTTAATGTTTAGAAAAAAGCTTAGAAAAAATTTGCAGTGTGAGATAGGCAAGAAATATAAGGCATGTAGCAACATCTTTGCTGGCAAATTGGCACTCCTTTAAAAACAAGGAAGGGCAAAAATATTTTTAAGTTAAGTGAAATATTGCTGTATGAGTCGTACAATTTTTGAATCAAGCATAAACTATATCTAAATATGCTAGTATATATATATATATATATATATATATATATATATATTTATATTTGATGTGATGTAAAAATATAATATATTTTGAAATTTTAATCTTCAATTTTTTTATCCATATTATTAAATATACACTCCAGATTATGAATTTCCCCCAAAAAACATTCTTACATTTTAACCCTTTGATCCCTGCATTCCTGAACAATTTTACACCTCCTGCCTGAGCTCCTGAGTCAAAATTCGCAAATAATTGGTATGTAATGTTTCACAGTAGATAAGAATAGTTACAAGTGTTTAACCACCGTTTTCCGGTGGCTGGGTTATTATTCTCATTTTTTCTCTACCACCGGGCAAATGAAATGGAAAATTATGTCATTTTTCTCTATCACTGTTCAACCGGTGGTCAGGGCTCAAAGGGTTAAGAAATCAAATCATATGATTGTTTGTTTTAGCTTACATAGGGGGATCAATTTAAAATGAATTTGTGTAGAAAACTATTAAATTTTATATTTTTAATTTATAATGCTTAAGCTATGGTAATAGGAAAAAAAGATTTATTTAAGAAAAAAATCATTTTTTTCTAGTTGCAGTGCATTTTTCATTTCATTGGATTAAATGTAACATTGAATTTGAAACATTTATACACTTTGATCCCAAAACTGAATTAAGGCAGAGGGAACCTGTTTAGGGCTTACGGCCATATAGCATTGAAACACCTGTTCCTGTATGATCACTGAAGTTAAACAACATTGAGCCTGGTCAGTACCTAGATGAGTGACTGCTTTGGAATATCAGGTATACTGTGAGGTTGGATGTGCAGGTGGTGTAAGGGATAATAACTTGGAATTGTTAATGAAAGAGCAGAGTTACAATTCTCATTGGATTCTTTATAGTCACTTGGGTGCAAATAAACTTGGTAAAGGTATGAATCCATCTCTCCCCCCCCCAGCTACAGGTTTAATTAGTAAGACTTGTATCACTAAACCATTATCTCAAAAAAAAAAAATTCTTACAATCTAAAAATTTTATATAACATGCAAAATGTTGATAAGCTGTAAAAAAACAACATAATTTAATTTTGTTGTTTGTTAATTTTGGGACGATTAAAATTCAGTTTACTTGGGTTTTTAATGTGAAGAAAGACAATTCAAAATTTAAGGATGATTTAAAGTCTAACACCATTTGCTGTTTGCTGTCAATCTTGGCAACGTTTTTTATTTCTTTCTTGTAAGTTTTCTTTTGATATTTTAAATTTAATGATTTTAAATGACAAATCCATTCTTTCATATAACAACAGAGTTAATTTCAAAGATAAAAGTCCAAAAATCACCCATGCATAAAACCTAATCGGTGCAATTTCAAATTTACTTAAATATGGCAGTCGTTTTTTGTTGGTTCTGGTCATGTTTAGAGTTCTTTGGTTAATTTTACTTTCAATTATTTTAAAAGCAGAATTCTTTTTTGCATGTGACAATGAAGTTAATTGTAGAGACAAAATTCCTAGAGTACTCATGCAATGGGTAGTCTAGGATCTACCCATGAAATTGCAAATTTATTTCAATATGACTGCCATTTTGTGATGCTATGATAAAATAGTGCTTAATTATTTTTATTGATTTATCAATAAAGTTCATTTTACAGACAACAATCCTGGATTACACATGCAGATAATATAACCAATGTAATTTCAAAATTACGGCCGGCCGGCATTTTATGAGTGTACAGGTTGTGTTAGTTTTCTTTGGATATTTTTATTTTCGATGATTTTAAAAATGTAATTTTTTTTTTTTTTTTAACATGTGGCAATAGTTAACTGTATTGATAAAAATTTCTAGATTTATACATTCAAGAAATATAACCAATGTAACTGCAAAATTGTTTAAATGTAACTACATTTTTTAAAAATCATTTCAAGGCAATAAAGCCATTAAGATACAAGGGGTTATTGAGAGTGAACGAAACAGGAAGGACAATAAAAGAACAGGTTTCAAGGAGATGGAAGATGACAATTGACATTGCAATGATTTAACACATAAACTAGTATAAAATACATATTTTTTTAAAGTCACTGCATTTATAGGAGAAGAGTTTTCAGTATTGGAGAGAGCATTTATGGATATAAACAGTGTGGACATAGGGATCAACACTGCATGATGACTGTCAGTTTCATGCTTCAGTTTAATCTTCAGACCAAGAGCCACTATTCCTTTAGTAGGATTATATATATATATATATATATATATATATATATATATAATCTCCAGTGTGCATCAAAAATACTTTTACAAATTTTAGGGGTGAGTTCCTCACACAAAAAAGGACAAAAGTCCCTATAAACATATGCCTGCAAATCCTTTGTTTTTGAGTTATTAAGTTTAAAGTTTATAGCAAATGCTGTTAAATGTACAATCCAAGATACAATCCCAAAATACTTTTACAAATTTTGTTGGTGGGTTCCTCACACCAAAACAAGGACAAAAGTCCATATAAACATATTGAGTGAAAGAGAATGAGAAACCTTTAGAAATAACTAGAAACCCAATCCTAAACAAGGGATAAAGCTCTACTCCTGTTCAATAAATGGGAAAGTAGTGTGAACAGGGGAATAGGCAAACCTGTCTACTAACAGTAATTAACAAGTCAACATTTTTTAAGCAAGAAAAGTGTAATTTTAGACCTAACCAGGATCTTCCATAGTATCATATCTGCCGGCTCATAATATGAATATCCTACCATTGCTAAACGGAACACACGTTAAACATTGAAGACAGACTAGCCACAAATGTAACCTAGTCCATATGTGAACACAGCGACATCTACTGTAAATTGTCTTTAAACTTAACTCAAAAATGAAGGATTTTTTAATATATCTTTATATGGACTTTTGTCCTTGTTTTGGTGTGAGGAACCCACCCCCAAAGTTTGTAAAATATTTTTGACATGACCTCTCTGTGTGTGTGTATATATATATATATATATATATATATATATATATATATATATATTAAGAAATGGACAAGGTCCGACAATTTATTTATTAAAGACATTTTTATGTTTAACGTTGTTATTTTATAGATACAAGTATTTAAGCAAATGCTCTGTTTATGATATATATATATATATAATGGGTGTAACACCAAAATTGTCCAAATCATGTAACAGCATGGGATAATTTTCCATCCTACAAAATGTTTAATCTCTAAAAAAACACTAAACTGAGTTTCTTTTTTCCAGGTTTTCAGATGAGGTGTTTAGCCATCTTCTTGACACTATTTTTTGTAAGAATCACTGAAAATCCCTTTGAGTTATTCAGATAGAAAAATAGTTAAAATCGTTTTGTGCCAAATCCACTGTCTTCCCAAATGAGCAATGATAAGAGGAAAAAGACCATTCAGGCCTTCAGTAATGGTTACCATAATCCATTCACTGACACCCATCTTCAAAGTTTATTCAAGAACCATTAAGAGAACAGTGAATAAGTTTAAAAAAGAGGGGACAGTAGAGGAAAAACTAGATCAGGAGGTCACAACAGAAAGAGGGATCATCATTTCAACTTAGAGAAAGAAATCAAGAGATTAGCTAAAGAGATCAATTAGAAAAGATCCAACTCAATCCATAAGACGTTTGTCACGTGAGAGAGGAGTTTCAGCTATGACAGTTCAAATGTCAGTGAAAAAAGACTTGGAAATGAAATCGTACGTGAAATGTGTGAGGCATCTTGTTACTCAAAGATAGAAAGTTTAGAGGGGGCGAAGAACATCTTGATGCTTTGTTTAATTATATATTTATGTCAACTGACCTGAATATTCAAGAAATCTTATTAAAGAAAAATATGCACTCTTTCTTAGGAATTGCTTTGTTTACGTTAGGATACAAAACTGGGCAGATATGAATATTGTTGGAGAAAGATTTGCACTTATAAGGCACTATACAGCTTCATCTAATTGTCAACACGCACCATGGCTGAAACAATCTAAAAGCAAGTTGAATGTAACAATGGTTTCCCCTGCCAAGAGAGACACAGGTTTGTACCTTGCCGAAGGGTGCATGTTTTTCAAAAATTAAATTTCTCAAATATTCAGGCTGGTAGATGAAAATAAATAAATATATTGTGTAAGATATTCGTTAAAAATCACATTTAAGCAATAAACTATATAAAAAATATTTATTAACAATTATAACAAAAACATGTTATAAACCGCTACATAAATGCAATCATGTTTCAACACTGTATGTGCCTCCTCATGTGGTGGTGCCTGAGGAGTTACATTGTGTCGAAATATGATTGCATTTATGCAGCAGTTTATCATTAAGCTCTATGCTGTATTGAGCACTTTTTAAAATATGATGTCTGGACATTGGTACTAACCTACCTCACACTTGTGTGTGTGTGTGTATCAGAGTTATGACTTTTTTGTAACTCTATGTTCCTTTGTGATAAGTCAATGAACTTTTGTTCAAAAGTAAAAAAAAAAAGGCATTAATTTGTTTGAGTTCTTGAAAAAAGTCACCACCTGAACCGTAGTAAGGGTAAAAAATAAAAACATTTCAGAAGCTTTATTTTTCAATTTGCTAATGATGCAATCACTCTCTCTCAGTCCTCAGTCTGTTTCTGTCTGTCTGTTAATCTAGCTCTTTCTGTTCTTGTCTGTCTATCTAACCCTTTTCTGTTCTTTTCTGTCTGTTCATATACCCTTCTTTGTCTACCTCTGACTGTTCCTGTCTGTCTGTTGAACTGTCCTTATTTTTCTTATTTTAACTCATTATTACTGTTATGTATGCAATGTTGGGTGTCACTAATGATATTTCCTTTCTAATAATATTCAAAAATCAATGCAAAGATTTCATGTTTTTTTTTGTTTACTTTTTCTCCTCACATAGGTTGATGATATTGAGAAAGCAATGCAGGATCTTCGTTCCAAGAAAATTCGTCTTCTGAGTGAGACAGCCAAGATTGGTGCCCATGGCAAACCCATTGTTTTTGCCCACCCAAAGGATTGTGATGGTGTTCTAGTTGAATTTGAACAAGTTTAAGATTAGGAAATTATTTAGGCAATTTAAAACAATGTTTTCTTGAAGGTAAAATGGAAGAAAAATCCTTTCTTGATCTGAAATGAAACTGGATTTACATGTTGAGATTTCATTTTTGAGTATTTTAGGAAATCACAGATAATGTCTAGAATGAAATACTAGCAACTGCGTCTTTCAAAACACAATCACAATTAAACATTGACTTTTAATATTAAATTATGAATTAAAAAAAAATTAACAAGGAACTCTTGATTGGATTCAAATTTGTAGATGCAATGGATTTTTTGTGAAGAAGAATCTCAATAAAATAACCGGTGATAGGATATCTGTTTATATGTTTAAAATGAGGTATTATAATTACTTGCATTATTTCTATTACTCGGACCATTATCCTCATCTTCATTGCCATATTCACAATGTTTTGGCTGTTGTACGCTCCAACGTCTTTATCTACTGGGCTATGTGTCCTCAAGGATACCTGGCCCAAACAGTTGTGAGTTCAATACCAGGCCACAGCAGTGGTGAACCAAAACTTGGAGAGCTGAGTTAAAGGGAAATCATTGAGACATCCAGAAGAGGCATGGCACGTGGAACTAGAACAATCTACCCCGGTGGATAAAATAAAGGGTTCGGTTTGAAATTCCAATCGCCTGAAGAAGGCTGGAGTGTACAATGGGTGAAATGTTGTGAATATGGCAATGAAGATGAGGATAACAGTCAGAGTAATGTAAATAGTGATAGGAGGGTTATTACAAATTTTGTTTGTTGACAAAATTATTTTCATGTTTCATTTGTTTGTATATATATATTACGTTTGAGCAAAGGTTTTCAGCTAAAAAACATTACTCAGTGTCTTGTGTTCAAATAAAGGGCTACAACTTTTCATACACACACACACACACACACACACACACATATATATATATATATATATATATATATATATATATATATATATATATAATATAAATGGACAAAGTCCAACAATTATTTTAAGACATTTTATGTTTATACATTCTTTTTTTATAGATTCAAATATTTAAGTAAATGCTCTGTTTATAATAAACAGTATTAACAACATTTACTGGCCTGAATGTCTGAGAAATTGTCATAGAATTATATGAGTAATTAAAAAATTTATTTAATAATTATCCCAGCATTTCTTTAATGGGAAATCAAAATTCATTTTGTCTTGTTATAACAGTCCTTTTAAGGTAATGTATTTTCTTTAAATTTTTAACTTTTCCAAATTTTGTAAAATTAAAACCAAATATTTTGGTCCAAGTTTGTATTTTTTGTCAAATATTTTTTGTTTTTCATCCTTTTCTCTTGTTTTTATTTCTTTGTTTGAAGATCCTTGTAATGATCATTAATTGGTTTCTTTCTCAAAAGTCTATTTTCAAAACCTGGAAATGAAATATATTTCCTATTTTTTCAGAAATCCCCTTGATTAGTTGTCACAATATACGACCTGTTGTCAGTGTCTGCTGACTTGATCATTCCTTCAGTGTTCCAATATTTCTCTTTATCTAATTTTATTCTAACTCCTATCTCCTCTTTTTAGAGTTGGTAAATTTCTGGCACCATGGAATCTGTTAAAATTCTTTTCCATTCTGGTTTTTGCCAGTTTGTTTTTCTCCTAGATTTGCGTGAAATTAGGTCATTTTTGGTAATAACTTTTTTTGGATGTAAAGATAATGTAGTTCTTATTTTCTTTCCCATAATTAATTCAATGAAACTGACTCCTGCGGCTTGAATTGGTGTACTCCATCATGCCATTAATGCTTGAAATGTGTCTCGTTCCAAAATTCTCTTATCTATTTTAACAGAGCTTTCTGCTTCTCTATTTGCTTCAGGATAATATGGACTTGATGTTATGTTTAAATCCATAACTGTCTGCAAAATCTTTGAAAGCGTAACTTTAAAATTGTTTTTCATTATCACTGACAAGTTCAATAGGAATTCCCCAACGTGAGAAGAAATTTTTCAACTTCCCTATTATGCATTTGCTTGTCACTGGATTAAGCTTTGCTATTTCTATATATCTTGAGAAATAATCTATTGCAACAATATATTGGTGCCCTTGGTGAGTGAAAATGTCTGTACCAATTCTTTGCCATGGACCTTGAGGAAGTGGTGTTACTTTTAATTTTTCCTTTGTATTTGTTGGACAGTGTATGTTACAAAACAAGCATTTTTTTTAGATATTCCTCTAACTCTTGAGATATTTTAGGCCACCACATTGATTCTTTGGCTCTTTCTTGGTATTTCCGTTCTAAGTGACCATTATGAAGTTTTTTTTAATATTTCTGGTCTATGATTTTCAAGTATGACAATTCTATCCTGAAACCATAGTAAATTTGTCATGAACTAACAATTCATTCCAATTTGGAAAATATGGCCTTATACCTTCTTTTTATCTTCAATTTTGTGTGTTCCATCCATTTAGTGTGAGTTGTATTATTTCCTGGAATACAGTTTTCTGATGAGTGGTTATTTTTATTTCATTTAATTTCTTATCCGATGCTGGTCTGGTTCTTGCCATGTAGTTTGTGTATACACCCACATCTTTGCTGGTATTACTATCAGTGTCGGATAAAGGACTTCTTGATGGTGTATCAAATACAACTAGTGTCTTCCCTGGAATGTGTTCTGCTTCTGGGTTATATCTTCTCAGTCTCATCAGAAGTATTTGACATTGTAATGGAGTATTGTACAGATCATGTGTATTTATTAATGGTATAATTGGTTTAGGGTCCATTGACAGTTTAAAGGATTCAAGTCCAGTGACATCAGTCAGATTTCTTACATGCCCATAAACAGCTCAAATACTCTTTTTCTCAATTTGTCTGTATGTCCTTTAAGTGCTATTGTGTGTGAGACATATGCTATTATTTTTAAATTTCCTCTATTTCTTGAAATAGAGCTGCTGCTCCAAGACCATAGCTGCTAATGTCAACGCTAACTACTGTAGGTCCGGTTTCATTGTAGTAGGATAGAATTGATGCTCAAGTTTGTAATTCCTTTACGTTTTAAAAGAATTCTCTTTTCGGTAATCCCACACAAATACAATATCCTTTTTCAATAATTCAGTCATTGGTTGTATTGTTTCAGGCAAGTTTGGTAAGAATTTTCCTATTTGTCCATGCTGATTATACGACGTAATTCACTTCAATTTGTATGTGTAGGCAACTACTGAAAAGCTTTTTGTCTTTCCTTGCTGAGTTGAATTCCGTCACTAGAAACTTTGTGTCCAAAATATTCTAGTCATGTCTTTTTGAATTCACACTTTTCTTTATTAAGCTTGAATCTGGCTTTTTGTAATGTTTTAAGAGCAGTTTTTAGTCTTTCATCATGTCCTTTTATAGTTCTACCATAAATTAGAACATTGTCAAAAATTGTTTTGACTCCTTGAATATTTTTCAATAATTCTGACATCTTTCTTTAAAAGATTTCTGGAGCCAATGTTATAACAAAAGGTAATCTTTTCAAGCAGTATCTTCCAAAAGTAGTATGAAAGTCATGAGTTGATAGCTTTCTTTACTTAAAAGAATTTGGTAGAATCTGCTGGTAGCATCCAATTTAGAAAAAAAATTTTGCTCCATTTCATTTAAGTCAAATATCATCTAAATTTGGTAACATGTAATGTTCCCTTTTCACTGTTAGATCCAGCTTCTTCAAAACTAAACATATTTGGACTTTTCCATTTCTTTTTATTACGGTTACCATAGGCACAAACCAATCAATTGGTTCAGTAACCTTTTCAATAATTCCCTCATTTTTGCAGTCTATTCAATTCTTCCTTCACTTTTGGTAAAATAGGGAATAGGACTCTCCTAACTGTTGTTACACTTTAGGGTGAAATGTCTTTATTCTGAATTATTTTCACTAGGTCTTCGTTCATACACCCCTTTCGCATCAAATGAAGTTCCCTGTTCTATTTTAAACCTTTCACTAAATTCATTTTTACAGACGTTTTTCTAGACAATAAGTTCTCTCCCTTTACACATTTCATGATATATATCTCCCAATAATATTTGACCTTATCTGCTTCTCTAACCTGTTTTCCAATGCATTGGACTATTCTTCCAGGATTTGTGAAGATGCCATTTACTGGTTTTAATATAGGTTTTCCTCTCAGATTTTTGTAAGTTTCGGTTGAGATAATGTTTACATCGGTGCCTATCAATTTTCTGTTTCACTGCTGTTTTAGAAATTTTTATACCTCAGGTCATTTTGAATTTGTTTCTGTCAGTTTTCTTTGGAAATGAGGAAAAGACTCATTTAGTTCTGCAAGTTACAACGAACTGATTCACTTTCACACATTTCGTGCAATGTTTCCCTTTTGCTGGACAGTTTTAAAAATTATGTCTTTCATTACATCGACATTTTCTACATTCACATTTTCTTTTCATATCTTGTAGGTTTCTCTGCGTCTTTAGTTTGTCTTCATTTTTCTCATGAATTTCTTCCATTTGAGATCTTATTTGCTCACTGCTCTTGGGCATCTCCATAGCTTTCTTGAGTTTCAAATCATGAATTAATTGTAATCTTTCAGATAATGTTTTTATTCTGGAATCCTATCACAACATGGTCTCTCATTTGAGAATTTTTCTTTGGAAATTCACATGTTTCTGATAATTCATGAAATATGTAAATAAAGGTTTCAACTGTTTCTCCTCGTAATTGAACTCAAAGATAAAATTTTGTCCTTTCATGATTTATATATTTTTAGGCATGAAGTAGGCATTGAATTTTTTCAAAACTGAGTTGTACACATTTGTATCTTCTTGTCGTGAGAAAGAAAATGTTCATAATATATTTTCAGCTTTGCTTGCCATGCAATATATTAATGTACTTTCTTGTGTTTTATTATCTTCTTCCCAGAGTTTCGATGCTTCTTGAAAT